AAGAAATGCTCTTCCTCAAGACAAACAGGGAAAGGGGCTGATTGCTAAAACTGGGGGCTTTCAATATTTTATTTGAGACTCTGGCTGCTAGAGGCAGGAGGCTGCTTGGATTTGAGCTGCTTATTAAGGCTTCAGGCTTGTCCAAACCACAAAAGTGTCCTCTGGGAAGGTTACGGGCATCTGGAGGACTTTGCTGGAGGATGCAAAATATTTGTGGTTCTTTGGATTCAACTTTGGGCGGTTCAGAGGCAGACTGGTCCCCTAGAGATCTCAGCCTGAGTGGTTTGTTGATGGCAGTTGCATGTGGAGGCACCCCAAATAATCTGAGTCAGAGCTGTGCCTTTTTTCTTAGTAATGAACAATCATCTTCAGTGTACCAGGAATGTCATTGATTCTGAGCAAACGGTGTGTTGGAGAAGCTCAGCTGGAGGAAGGTTTTGGTGTTCAGAGGTGGTGCTTTCATGGCAGCGTCTGAGCCCCGCGGGCTGGCCTGCGTGGTGCGCTGGTGGCGCAAGGGTTAATATCAACAAGGGTCAGCAAGTCTGGCTTTGCTGGGATTTAGAGCCAGCTGCAGATGTGCTGCTCCGCTCTGGATGCTTCCTGCTGGAGAGGGCTGGCGGAGGGGGGGGAATCGCCACTAAAACCTTTTGGTTACTGTGCAGATATCCGTGGAGGGCAGCCAGAGTTTCAGGGGCAGATGGCTCCTTCTCCCAGCGCTAAACTATCAACCCCATAACCTGTGATGGAAAGTCTTGGTCAGCGACAGACGGGAAGGGATTATCTTGGGCTCCGGCTGTATCGGTTCACCTCTGGCCTGATGGCAGGGACTCATCAGCTCTGCCGAGAGTTCATGAAAGCTCCATCCAGCTTATTTTCCCCCCTTTCCCCTCCCTGCCTCTCTCTCCTGGGGGTGGGCGTACTGACATTGTTTGGAGTACATCATCTGGTTCGTGTTATGCCTGGCAGGAAGTCCAGCCTCTCTGGCCCTCCGCGCTCCGGGAGGCCGAGGGGCCACGCTTTTGGCAGGGAGAGCAAGAGGAGTGGGGAGGAAAAGAGGGGGTGATGCAGCGTGCTGCTCTCACTCCAGGGGAGAGGCTGCCTGGCACATGCGAGCCCCCATGCACCCCGGATGGAGGAGGCTCCGGAGCTCAGGAGAGGGTTTGGCAGCATCTCGGGCGATGGGGGCTGCAAAGGAGGTCGCTGGGGTGGAAGGCGCCTTTGCATGGCCCCCGCTGGCCCTGAGCAAGCCCCTGCTCACCTGTGCACAGCGCAGAGACACGACTGCCACCAGACCTCCTCCGAAGTCGTCTTTGCCCAGATTTGTGCTCTGGGCTGTACATAGGTCCGTGCTGCGTAATGGTCCGAGCGCAGTCCTGGCATCTGATTGCCTGTACTTGCCTCCCAGCCCTGAACGAGTTGCAGACAAATTCCTCCTTTCTCTGTACCATCCATTTGCAAGTGACAGCAAGAAAAGGTGAATCCCAGAGCGGTATATGGTGGGTGACCCGCTGCCTCCCGAACAGCTTTGAGATGCTCAGAGAGCCACTAACCTCTGGCTTGCTCCTGTGCGAGGGCCTCCCTATTGCTCATTAAGCCGTGCCGGGAGGGATGTGCTTGCTGGCATTACAGTGCACAGCTTGGGGAAAGGAAAAAAAATTAGTGTCAGTGTTGTGACAACTGTCCTGGCAGCAGCCTGGTTTGGTTATAATCCTCGGGTAGAGTTACTCTGCAAAGATGCACGCTGGCAGGGGAAGGTAGATTATTTGAATGAGAAAAACACTGGAGACCTTAAGTGTTTTGCTAACTCCCATTAACAGCCCCGCAGTGCTGCCACCGGTCCCCGGGTCTCCGGTGGGAGCCTGGGGCTGCCGCCTCCGCCACAGGAGTTGTGCTTCCCAGGCTCGGCGTGTCCCCTGCACTGGGACAGAGCTGGTTTCGCTGGAGCTGTGCCAGCTTGTGGGACAGCTAGTCTGGTCCCACAGGGAATAGAGGATCCCTGGAAAGCTGCTGGGCAGGTTGCGGGGAATGCAGATCTCGTTTTCCGCTCCTCGGCTGAGCCCCTGCGGATGTCAGCAGGGCAGACCTTTGCCTGTATCCCGCAGCAGCCGTGTTCGTCACCCAGGCATCGCTTTGAGGTTCTACTCGAGGTCTCATGGCCACGTGTTGCTAAGTGTTCTCACCGTGATTTTAACCACAAGGAATGGAAAATTTAAACTGACTGTCTCAAGCGAGGGATCAACAGAGCAGCTTTGCAGACCTTTTGCTTTGGCCTTTCCAGTTCCAGTCCATCCTAAATCAGCAGCGAGTGTCAATCCTTCCTGTCCAGTGGCAGCCACAAAGTGAATTTGGTGGCCCTCCTCCTAGTCCTTACTGGACAAGCGGGCCATAAACACCACTGCAGATGACACAGACTGAAACTTTCCTGAGGTTGAAGTTTCTGAACCTCTAGACAAGTGGCTGGGCTGATGCATATCAAAAAACCCGGTGTCCTTGCTATTCTGGCTCTATTTGTTTTCCGAATAATTAGGAGATTTTCAGTTGCTAAACACATGCTCAAAAACTAGAATTGCTCAGCCCAGATGCCTTGAAGGTCAGTGCTTGTTCTTTACAGCCAGGAAGGAGGCAAGGGAGGGGCAAAGGTATCTCTTAAAAGCCATTTTCTTTTAGCTTCCTATGGTGCCGTTGGAAGAAGATCCTTTTCTCCCAGCTTGTTCTCCCCCAGGTACAACCTGATATGCCCCTTGCAATTTGCCAGATGAACATCATCTGTTGGTGTTTCTTGGATGGGGACCTGCCTTCTGGCTCCCTCCCAGAAGAGTTTGGAGCCAGCAGTGAGGCCGAGAGCAGGCCTAGGTACCGATTGTTGGTGGCTGCTGCAGGATGGGAATAACAGAGGTGGGAGGGATTTTTTTATTATTATTTGATATGGTTAGAGAGAAGCCAGAGAGAGCTTTCTAAACGTGTTTGTATAAGGATCGTGTTACTCAGAGGCTGCTGTGCCATGTTTCCATAGGGGTGGGAAACCCTCCAGTACTGGGATCTCACTGAGGTTTTAGTGGATTTAGTACCAGACTGGCAGCCCTGAAAACTGAAATCTTTGTTTATCCGCAGGCTGGATGGGCACAGCTGCACCCCAGCCACCCCCGCACCTCGGCTTCGCTCCCGGGGCTCCCTGCAACAGGGGAGGCAGGAGGTCCCGTGCTGCAGCTCAGGGTGCTTCAGGGGCCCCCAGATCACACTATTGCTCTGCTGCGGCCAACAATTTTCTAGCTAGCAAGGTGGAATTGCTGGGCAGGGCAACTAAATGCGGTCTTGGAAGATTTCCACGCTTCCCTGTGCCGGGGTTTGGGGTGCAATGGGCAAAAAGAGCATCAAGCTGGTTGTACCTGCGGGGATGGGTCTCGCTTAGCCAACACCGCTGTTTCGGAGCTGAGGGGTTGGCTGTGACCACCCCACAGTCAGGGACAGAGCATGGCCTGGTTTTAGGGCCACCTGAATTGGTCTGGCCATAGGAAGGGCTTCACTACTCACAGATCCTCCATGACCCTTTCTGTCTCTCTAATTGCCAGACGCTCTGTCCCCCAAGGGCCATGTAATTGAAGGAGCAGAGAGCTTATTTAGGTCACTCTACACCACATTTAAAGGCTGGGCATCCCCTCCTTGTACTTTCTCTAATGCTGTTATCTCCAGAGCTGCCTCATGACTGGCTTTCAAGCGGCTGTGGTCCTTTTATTTGAATATATACTTGCAGCAGGGCTGTTTCAGTTCTCAAATATTTCTTCATCTCCCACGGACCCAGCAGAGAGGGGGAAAAAATGCCGTTGCTAAGGAGCGGGATTTGGATACAAAGCTGGCCGAGCTGCTGGCGGGGGGCCCGAGGGGCTCCAGCACAGCTCGTGGCAGGTCAGTGCTTGTACACTGCTTTGGTGGGATGGCACCTGCAGGGTCTGGATGAGGGCAGTTGGGATTTGAAGCATCGCTTGGGCCTTGGGGAGAAAGAGTTGAGTTGTAGGGCTCATACCCTCCATAGATTAATTTGTTTATCCCACGTGTGGTGCTGGGTTAGACCCAACGGCAGCATCCATGGCCCGTGCGAAGTGTGTGGTGTTTGCTGCGGGAGTCTGTGGGACCTTCATTCTGCAGCAAGAAACATCTGTAGGCTGAAAGATGAGGCTGATGTGAGGGCTCTTATGAGGAGGGAGCTGGTGTCCAGGGAGACCTGTTAAGCATCACACCGAAGCTGTATCGCAGCCTGCAGCTGGAGCATGCCTGCCTGGGAAAACTGGCAGCAAGGGAGGAATTGAGCTGTTGGGCTACTTCAGTTGTCGGTTTGTCTCATTCCTGTCCCCGTGTGGGACTCACCCGCATGTCGCAGCAGCCCCAGCCCTCCTGGCTTATGGAGCTCTGGCAAAGATGTTGGACTTTGCTCCAGAGTCGTTAGGGAAAGGGAGTGCTGAGCTGGCGTGGGGCAATCCCAGCCGCTCGCCGGGCTCTGCCTCGCAGGCTGGCCGCCTGAACGGAGACACGGGCAGGGGATGGGAGCAGGGGCAGAGGTGCAAGGGTGCTGCCCGGCGAGCCTGCTCTGAGCACACGCTGCCGGCTAGCGCAGGAGAGGCTTTGCTCATGTGTGATCTTTGCAGAAGGGTTTTTGTGGATGGGCCTTTTGTTCTTTTAACACCTGGGAACAGCTCTCCCAG